ATATTTCATAGTACATATATATGTTCGTTGCCTTTATCGTAATCATTGTGATTTCTAGAGAAATGAAGTTTTCATTGTACCAAATAATTGTGTCACTCAACAAATTAATTTGCAGCGGATATTTATTTAAAAAATATTTTTACTTTAGATTGAATCACAAGGCCATGCTATTACTGAATCATCTTCGAAATTCTACACGCGATGATATTCGTAATCCTGTTAAAACCGTATTGAATTATCTGAATTCATTCGATGTTTCTGGAGTTTATGTGCCGACGTCAGCTCACCTTTCGACACATGGTACATCACCCCTCAATTATCGCTTCGACGGTAATCTTAGACTGTTCTGATGTATCTTTTCTGAAACAGCTGTATCATCGTGCTAATTGTTTGAATTATGTCATAAAAAGATTTTGCAGGTATGTCATCATCATACGATGCTACAGTTTCAGTTGCTCCATCTTACATGGATTCAACACGGCTATTAAAATATCGCTCATCTCATTCTTATGCAGCAAGTGTATTACCCGGTAACGTGAGCAGCACATTAAACACTGAATATTTTCCTTATTCTTCCCCATCGTGTGCTTCCACTATGCAGCAGGGATTTGCCCCTCGTCCAGGTGATCGTTCAAATCATCAAGAACAGTTTGCTTCTCTTCCGCGACAATTTTTCCAGAAAAGTAAAATATCGAATGCATCATCTGTTGGAGATGATAGTAATCTGTATCTTAAGCAGATGCAAGCTGCTGCGCGGTTTTCTCCATCGTAAGTTTTTTTTTGTTTCGTTATAGTTATTAAAATTTTATGAAGATTTAGGAATCTTCTGTTCTGAATAATTTAAGTAACTTGTCTTTGCAGATCAAGTTTCCGTCGGAAATTGTGTAGATCAGTTTAATAAGATTGGTTTCTCAAACTAATTTCACCTTTGTTTTAGTGTCACAACTGTGAAACATCCTATTCATCCAGAACAAAAGAATTTGAGTTCTTCAACAACGACAACAAGTGGTTTTGTTGCTGAAAGTCTACAAGGTCCTAATCTGAGTAGTGAGGAAAATGGTGATAGCGATGGATTGAGAAGCTTGAATAGGCCTGATGACCCGTCTTTCGAGGTAGAAGATAGTGTACGATGTACACGCTGTACCAGCACGCAATCGCTCTCGTCACTATTTCCGGTTAATATTTTTGCGCAAATCTAGGCGGGCGTTCTAGTTCTAATTACTTCAAGTTGAAAAAGCAGATATATTTTTGGTAGAACTGTTACTACAGTTTATGCGGTTAAAGATTATTTGTGCAATTTTTAGCATTTATAGCCAGTTTTAAAATCGTTTTTGACTTTGAAATATATTATAATAAAAGAAGCCTCAAATCATTTTGAAAAGATATCGGAAAGAGAAAAAGCTTTCCCTTTTTCTGATTCTCTTTCATATTTCAAACACCAAGTAAAATGGATATATGCAAACTGTTTAGGTAGTAAGGAACAGTATATGGACTGTGTAATGTTATTTATATACATTATTGCTTCCATTTCCTTACGGTAAAACTTCAGTATTTTTTTGCAAAAGGAATTCATTCATAGGGTGAAAGAAGCACATGGAACAGTTGTAATAATTCCGCAGCTGACAGTAATCGCCTTTCTCCAGTTAGCGCTACTGAAATTCCTGATTCTCCCACTCAATGTGCACCGTTAGCTGATTCAACAACACTTTCCGCACGAGATTTTGAAAGTACCGAAGAAAATGAAATGCGGGACGAAGTAAGCATATCAAAGGAGGTGCCACTTGAACCTCCTAAGTCAAATACGATGCAATCAACTAATGGAAAAAATAGTTCTGTCAGTAAAGACGATAGAGACGCAAAAGGTATGGAGATGTTTTTTTATGCATGTATGCATGAGTTGCTTGCTCTTCTGATGTATTTTTTTTGTAATATCTAACATGAATTGACTTGATTTTTATGTGTTATGGGCAACATCGTTCAATAAGAAGAATATTGTTGACTTAACAGTCATGTAATTTTGTATTTGAAGTTTCAATTCATATCATATTTCTGTTAATTGAAACTTCGCTAAGTAGTTATGAATGATTTTTTAGTATATTTCCAAAATGGTAAAATTCAGGTTGATATTATTGCGGTTTCTTTCAGCAAATACAGGACAGGAGAATTTATTAGATGATGATTATGGGAGTTTTATGGGTCGCGCTGATTCTGAGTTGCTAAATCAGTCAATTGAATCTGCGATGCCGAAGAGGTAAGGCTTTTCGAGTTCATGTCTGAAAATAGTAAGAAATATTGTCAGATTCACTTGAATGTTTTAGTAAGAAAATGACTGGTGCGGAATGGATCTTTAAATTTTCATTTTAGAGTGGAAATCAACGAGGAGTTTTTAGCAGATATGATCGAGCAGGCACAACCAAAGTTATCTCCGCTGAAACAATACGGCAGTATTAGCGGACGCAATTTTTCAAAAGCTTCTACGGCCAGGGCATCGAGTGTAAAAAGTAAGTGCGTAAAATTGTTGCCAATTTTTTTTGTTTGTTTGAACTATTGTTGAACACATTTTTATTTCAGTAGACAGCGATGATTTCTTGCTGCAAAGCATTGCCAGTGTATTGCCGCAGAGTTCTAGCTCCACACATGATATGTCAGGCATAGGTTCACCGCCAAAAAAAGCGAGGGCCATGACGGGCGATACCGCACGCACGTCAGGTGGCCCTAAACGTACTTCTTATGCGGTCCTTTCAAATTCGCACAGTCGTCTCACGCATAGTTGCTCTGTCCTACGTACAAAGGAATCAAGGCCGAATGGTATAAATCTGAAAACGAAGCTCGGAAACAGAATCACTACATCAAATTCTGCTGCGTTATTTGATGCAGCGTTACGGAGCTCTTTTGTGGAAAGTCCGAAAACTACAGAAAAAGTTCGGGATGCCTTGTTATTGGTTCATCAAGATATAAACGAGGTAGTCATTTTTTCTCTTTTTCTTTCAAATTTCTCGATTTATTTTTCGAATTAAAAAAATTTATTTAGGAGAGCGACACACTGAGTGAAGACAATTACAGTCCTCTAACGGATAACAATATGGCTGTTGACAAAAATGTGCCCCAAGATATTGATGAAGAATCTCAGACGGAACAGCTCGTAATAGATTGCAGTGTTGTGTCAGAAACTACCAAGCAAACTGTTAAACCAGTGCAGAAAGAGAGGTTTTTTTTGGGCTTTTTGGGTTTAATAAGATAGGTTAACTGCTAGTGTTATCAATTTTTTCTCAGTAATACAATTTTACATTTGGTACGACCTTTTAAAAGTTAACTCTGATCATGCTAACAGTGATTTATCTTCTCAATTAAATCATTTTTTAGTCCCTCTCTGAGTTTCTTTATACATGTCTGGAGAGTCTTCAGTTGTTCTAAATCGTTCAGTTTGTTTCTCTAAATCTTTCAATTTGTTCAAATTTTTCTTCGCGGCATTTTTTTGATTTGCAATCAAATTAATGATATCATTTATGGTTCTCAGAAATTCAGACATCGAATTTCATTTTTCAGTTGTGTACAAGCTAGCATGTCGATTCCTTTTGGACTGGCTCATAAAAACGTGGAAAAACAATCGTCAGAGCAGGAAATTTTTACACTCCCGGCACCGTTCAGCAACTGTAGTTCACAAAACAGTTCTCCCTGTAATCCAATCATAACATCGACGCCAAGAAGTTCTTCCAAACTGTTAACTAAATTCCCTGGTATTTCTTTCTTTTCATTTGAAATTTTTAAGATGAATTTAAGAATTTCTTAGTTGCTACAAGTTTGTCTAACTGGTAGCTTTGATGGATTATCAACTGTTAAATTTTTCCATGAAGCCTATGCTAAGGAGAAAGAAACAGTGGCTTTATTTTATCATACAGTTATAAACAATTCTTTTTTAGATAACCTCACTATATTAATGTTTTCGACGAAAATTGCTTATTGAAAATTTAAATTACATTTTACTAGCAATCTTATTCTCAGCTAAAATTTTTTCAGTGAAAATACCGAGACATAATGTTCTTATTTCAAAATCAACGCAGGAGAAAGTTTCTACTTCGAACACAGTCATTCCGAGAACTAGGAACTCCTGCAACGTTGCTGTGAAATCATCAGAGGTTTGATTTCTTTGGCCATTAATCTCAAGTAATAATAACATTTCATTCATTGCTCGGAGATTATTGTTTCGAATTAAATTGACATTTGTTTTGTTTCGATAAGCTTGTAGTACTGTTGTTTATCTAATTTTAATTTAATAGCGTTTCAAATATATCTCTTGTTTAAGGATGGTAGAAATCCACATCGCGCACGTTCTTTGCCAAGACCTAAACAGTCAGTTTTATCGAAAGCTAAACCTATTCCACCATCTTGCTCACTGCCAAGTTCAAAAATAACCACACCGCGAGCTGTAACTTGTCGACATCGAGCAATTACTTCGGACACTTCTAATATATCTCAGAATTGTTCTAGTTCGATTTATAAAACGATCAAGCCCCAGGATGTGCTCATTCAGGAATTCGCTAAAAACCGATCCACAAAAGTATTACCATTGAATCATAGGAATGTGAATGAGAAGGTTCTCTTATATTTGCTAGAATTACATGTTGTTACTTGACGAAATTTTATGAAAGCACAGAAGTTGTTAAACGATTTTCATTTTAAATTGTCTAGTTTGCAATATTGATAGATATATTTGAAATACAGCTAAGCAGAGTTGTCTTTGATTGGGAAATATTGTGAGATACCTGATAATGTTGTTGCTGGTTGCAGTTCTGTTTAATTCATACAATTTCCATTTATAGACTGTTTCTGTTGCTGTTGTTCCTGAAAATGATAGCATGAAAGATGCTGTTACAGCAGATACCGAAAATGACAGCGGAACGCAGTGTGACAATCAATCAGTGGCTGGAAGGAAAAAAACTATCAAACAAATGCTTGTAACTACCGTTTAAAATCAAGATTTTCAACTTCTTTTGCAATGTTTTCGTTTTAAAAAAAAGATGAAATCTTTGGAATAATAGTAGAATTTTTTGTTTCTTACAACTTCTGATTTTTATGATCTTTTGGCCTCAGTAGTGGAAATTGTTTGTGTTGATGGTTTTTAATGAAAAGAGGTTCTATGAAACAGTTAAAATTTGAGCTCATTATCTAAGTCTAAGTCGGTAGAATTGTCTAAAACTTCTTATTATAAATTTTTAGAGCAATTATAAAACATCAACAGAACTTACAAACATTTGAGCAGAACGTGAAACTATCATGTAGATTTCATGCTAAACATATTATTTAAGTTAATATTATAATTTAATAGCTGAAGCAGTATATTAGAGTTTTCTTTCTGTTTCTCGTAATTTCACTTTTATTTCATGCATAATCGTGAAAGTACTTCTCTGGCGGGTTATGATCGTGTGCTTAGCTCGCGTTGTATTTTTAGTTAAGTTTCTTTCACATATCCTTAGTAATGTTATCATTTGCATTTTGTGCCTTTTTGTGACGACTGTAATGGTCGAAGTTTAGACGTATTTATCTCATAATAAATATCTTGGTTTAGCAAAGCATCCACAGATTTCTTTTAATGCTTCTTAGGGAAATGTTTTTTATAACTGAGCCTATTTAAAAAAGTTTTGTTTATATTTGAGAGAAGCAATTTTCCTTTTGATGTATTAAAATTCAAGATAAAGCATGTTTTCTGGATTATATACGTTCCTACTTATTATATGTTCGAATAATTGTATACATAATTTGCATATTATGCTATAATTGTCAAGGACTTTGTGAGGATGCAGTTTTTAAATGATTGTAGTCGAATTTTAGGTTCAACTTTTATTTAATTTCGCTTGTTCATTTCCAAGTAATCGTTACTTGTCTCGGTTCGTGTCCTGTAGTTTTGCAATAAACGATTGGATTTTTCGATTGGATTCGATTGGATTCGATTGGATTAATCGTTACCCAAGTTGGATTTTTGTTTAGAAATATTAGCCGAAGTTTAATTTGCAGATCTAAGTACTTATTGATTGGTTATGTAACATTTATGAATATTTGGGACGAATGGTGTGAAAAAATATATGAATTGTTGAGAGTTGAAAATTCTTATTTCTTCCTACTGTCTCATAATAACTGTGTTCGAAGAAATGGGAAAACAGTTTGTCGGTGTGTAATGTCTGTGTTCGAAATTGATTTAAGAGAATTTATAGTTTATAGTTCACAAAAGTTTGGAGTATTTAATTAAAAGGGAATCATAACCCCGGACAATATTTCGGTAGACCTACACAACCTGTTTGTACCGTAATTTCCCAAGATGTATTTAATAATTTGACTAGTTTACATGATGGCACAAGTTACATCTTTTAAATGTGGGGAATCGCATCTATGGTTTTTAACTAGTGTCATCGATTTCAGGTTTGATATTCAAGTAATCTGATGTTGAGATTAACATTTGCAATGTGATGAGTTGGAAATTCTATTCAAGAGTGAAATTCGCAATATTTGCATTCAGTTGTAAACAATCCCCAAATGCAGTCATATTCAAAAATGGGTCAATCACTTCCTAGACAAATTGTTACAGTATATTTACCGATTCTATTCAATGTATTAATCAGGAAATAATTTTTGCTAGAATTACGATTTTAGAGCGGATGTTATGTAAGAGATGATATATGTACGGATGATATATTGGTCAGACACTGCACCTAGTTAGCAGTGATAAGTTATTTAATTTTTTGGGTAATACTTTTAATTTTTGGACAACAAAGTAATAGTATTCACTTCACTTCATATCAATCCTAACAGTTGCGTTTTACAAGCATAATTTTTTCAGAAGTTAAATTCCGCTTCTGAAGCAATGCTTCACACATTCTTAGGACACAATGAAGGAATTAGCTGATTCCTTTTTGAAATACCAATTTTTCTGGATGTCTTTTTGATGACAACAAAAAAAATGTTTGAGAAAATTGAGTTTCGCATACTGTTCATATTATTGCCCCATTGATATGGGAATAAATATTTCTGGAATGTGTAAAATGTTTTGCATGCATAAGTGGAGAAGTAAAGTACATGCATGCACAGTTTTTTTCAAAATTTTGATTTCGATGTCCATTTATGTTAGAAATTGTCTCCTTCCTCAGAGTACGAATTATTAAGGCTTTTTCATTTATCTTTAAATAGTCAGTCATACAATCGTTTTCTACCCTCCTCTTCCTTCACATCTTCTCTTATGTATTAATCATTATACGGATAATAGTTTTTGATACATTCTCTTCAAACGTTATTTAATGTTATTTTGAAATGCCATTCGTGTAGGTATGCGTTGATTTATCCTCTTAATTGGGATTTTAAATTCTTTTTTGTTAACTGAAATCACTATCTCACATTAATTTTTATCATTTTTTCTTACCTATTTCACTTACCATTTTAGGTCTTTACACACTTATCCTTTTATCTTAAGAAATATTCTGAAAACACGTCCTTGATAGTTCTCACATCTCTCCTTTATGAAATATATCCTTCTTATTCCGTTTTTTCCCGTACATAAGAGCTTATTTATATGTAAAACGTTTATAAGCGTTTGTTTGTACGTTTACAATATGATATGCAGGAATTTATATAAATATTTTGCAGCTTATGTGAGAGAACAGAAAGCGCAATTACTCATTTTTTTCAGTTGAGTGAATGGATGATGCATATTAATGTAATTGAAACTGATTTTCCACTTTTTTTTCCTTCCAATTTCTCTTTTAATTTTAAATTTATTTAACTGAAATGTTATTGCTAACTTGGTATATTCTGTTAAGAAAAGAATGAAGAAGTGTTACTCAAATTCAGTATATGAAGAAAACGATGTCAGGAAAAAGCTTTATACGATTCACTGCAATATGAATCTCTAGCAGAAGGATTAATTTTCATCGTAAAATAACTTTATTAACTGGGCAATATTTTAGTGCAATACTTATATATTTCATCAATATATATATTTCATGCAATATTTATTTCATCGAAACATAAATCATTGGGTTAATTGCTGTATGAGAACGATTTCCTTCGGTACACTTGCGACATTTGGTAATGAAATAAGTAGTAAGAAAATTATTAAAGGGATTTAGAAATGAATCAGAATAGTGATGTAAATGATCGTGTTGATATGATGGTGATGATAAAATGATAGCAATGGGCTGTGCTATCGTATAGAAATGAAACAGTTGGAATGTTGCTTAGATTATTAGAGTTACATCATAGGATGGACAGAGTGTTTGACCCTCTTCAATGAACATATTTAGGCTTTCTAGAATATCTAAATAAAAGTAAAGAGAGGACTCTTCTCCGAACATGCATCACGCTGTGTTTTCCCATATAATTGAATCCTCTGCCGCTATTCCTGCATGTCTGTTTACTTCACGTATCATGGCTCCTTTTTCTATCCAATGGCGGCATTTTGCTTACCGACCCACTCCACTTCTTTCATATTGATTTTCATCTCTCGCAAATGTATTTCTTCTTCTGCTTCTTCTGCATTAGACATAACAACATTTCATACGGATGAATGCATTGCCATACATGTGTTTTTAATGTGTGTAGAGATTTGTGTTGAATTTGTGGATGTATGGTAACAGTAGTGAGAGATTATAGACGACGAATACTGTTAGGCTGAGCTGCTCTACCATTTTTTTCGTTTTCTAAACAGGAAACAGGAAATTGTTTGTTATCTTCAATTTACTTGTTGTTATTTGTATGTGATAAATCTCAGTCTACCAGGTATTGGTTGAGTGTTGAAGTTAAAATAACATTTGCAAGAGTCTGTTCTATTGTCTAACGATTTGAAATATGTTACACTTGCAGTTTTAACTTCTGCATCAATTATGCGAATTTTTAAACTAACATAAAGTAGCTACCGACCACATATTTCATCCCTCGAGAAAAAAATCTTATTTTAGGAGTCTGCTGAAAAGAATTCCGACCAACCGCGAAATCTCAATATCACGCTGATGAGTTACTCTTGTCAAGTTTACTCGTTCGAATGAGATCTATGGAAGGCTTGGGTGATTAGTTTTACTACAATGTTGTACTTCCTGAGCATTTCCTCCTCTAAAAAAAAGACATCTCTTAGATTTAAATGTTAATTCCTTGGTTAATTCCTTATTACCGAGGAGATATGTAACTCTTTACAGTATCTTGCATTTCTAATTTAAGGTTAGTACAGAATCTTCATACATAATTTCCCTTATGAGATTTTTTCATTTTTATGCATTCTTTTTAGAAATATAGTAATTTCTACTCAGTCGCCCAGTTTAACTAACATCTGTTACGTTTCATAATAGATGAGTCATCATTAGTTTACGATGTTTTTAGGTGAGAAGTTAGTAACTTTGGTTAATTTCAGGTTTCTTTTTTTCCATAAAGTTTGGTTTTGTGAATAGAGAAGATCATGGGAATATCAGTTGTGCGGTTTTTCTTTTTATTAAGGATAAAGTAAATCGAGGAACTGTAATTATATTGCTCCATAAAGTGAACATTTCGTGATCCAAACTTCTTTTTAAGAGCTGTAAAACGGTATGCTGAAATAATGAAAGAAGGAGCATAGAGGACTGTAGAAATTTGGTTGGAAATTAATAAGATTTTTTCATTTTCATGTATTCTTTTTAGAAATACAATAATTTCGCTGCGCAGCGCAACATCTATTACGCTTCATAATAGATGAATCGTCGTTAATTCACGACGTTTTCAGATGAGAAATTAGTGACTTTGTTTAATTCCAGGTAGTAACATGGCAAAAAAGCAGTATGATTTATTATTCAAATTATTGCTTATTGGTGACAGCGGTGTTGGAAAAACATGTATTTTGTACAGGTTTAGTGATGACGCTTTCAATACTACTTTCATTTCTACTATAGGTTGGTTCTTCAACCTTTCTTGAAACGATACAAAGAGTAATTTTTAAGCGTTAATGTCAAATGGTTAGGTT